GTGGAGAGAAATACATCCTCATGCTTGCCCGATACATCATGGTGAGGAAACAGAGGTCATTTGGACTAAACTGCGAAGCCAGTTCTCCCGCGGTTTTTTACCGTGGAAGAAATCATGTTCCTCACTATGATGTATCGGCCAAGGATTTCTGACAAAGATGCTCCAAACAAACAATACTTTGGAAGATCATTCAGCTAATAATTTGAGCCAATCAGGTGCTGTGTGTGAAGAAGGGAAAAAGAAAAAAAAACACGAAACAGCCGTTTCGCTAACACTGTTCTCTACTGATATTCAAGGAAAAAAACAGAAAGGTTAAGAAACTGAACGTCAAACTAACCGGCGAGAGTAGAAACGGCGTGTGCTTGACGCTTGTTGCGGAACATTTGATCGTGAATGAAGCTCACAACATCCGGTCTAACTGGAGCACGGAAAACGCACGGAAGCTTGATCTGAGTTTCCGTAGCCTCGTACTTCTCATTATAAACGGTGACAAGCGGACGGGCCGCCATATTACCTGCAAAAGTAATTCAGAGACGTTTCAATAGAATAAACAGGAGAACAAGAACAACTTCGTCGTGTAGAGAAACTGGCAAAAGGGAAAAAACCGAATGGGAAGAAAGTGAAACATTCGTACTTTTGCTACGTCACTAAATTATTAACACATACACAAAAAAAGTAGTGAACGTAGCCTACTCGTCAAAGGCTTACAATCAAAGAATAAATAAGTCAAGAAATGACAAATCATAGATCAAGAAATGATCTGTCAAAGCCGTCAGAAAAAAGGGACTCTGCTTTTATTACAACCCAAAATCGTTTTTGCCTACACCTTATCCTTGAGAAAATTTCGGCGCCACTTCCAAAAACTATGAACTTGATCAATACCCTCAGACAGGGTACATGTGTTGGAGCAGCCGGTGATGTTGTTGGCAGATGCCTTAGCTCGAGCGTCGTAACTGGTCGCACGATGGAGGAGAGGAAGGAGTATATGAAAAATTACTTTCGACTGCTTCACTTTTCGGGGTTTTCCCATCTCAAGTCCCCAACCTCTGTTTTGAAGCAGCCGTTTTTGGGGTAAATATGGGCGAGCTTTTGAAAAAAAAATGCCCGAAAAGTGGCAGGAAATTTGAAGATTGTGGTTAGGAAAGGGATAGGGAAGGGGAGGCGCGTACAAAGGAAGAGTTATCAAGATAGGTGTCGTAATTTGCAGGATTCTTCCTCCGCAGAGCGTCCTCTACATGGACGTCCCCAAATAGCGGTTTACAACGTACTCGGTGAAAAGCGTCTGCAGCAAAACTACGCCTTATTCGCTAATAAAGCGCAGAACAAGCCCCAGCTTGAGTTTCAGAAAAAAAAAGACCAGTGTAAGCAGTAGAGTAGGCCAAAGGTAACAAAATTTACGCAAGCTGTTTAACAACAACCAAGATTTAATCGACAGCGCCTGAAACACAAAAAACAGAGCCAAAGCGACTGAACGAATAGTAAACAACGCATCTCTCCTAAAACAGCTTCACGAGTAAAAAAAAACCAAATTAGGACCACAGTATTCAAGAAATTCATTCGTAGAGATGAATTTGCCTGCTGCTTACTTGGCTGAGTATTCGACAAATGTGCGCGTCGGTCCCACGCGGATAAGCTCTAGGGAGGCGGAGCTTCGCTTTACCAGCTGCTTTGGCACTTTTCAAGTGGAAATCAGCTGTATTGTCATCGCTTGAGGTTAAGTATCGACTGCTTTCCAACTGTGGCTCAGTTCTGCCAAAGTTTCGCGCGACTACGGTTGCTCTGATTACTAATTCCTTCGGAAATCGTTGACGAGGGCATCCAGAAAATGAGGTTTGTGGCCGAATGAGGTGTGGTACTTCGTGTGGTCTCTTCTTAGCCACCAAGCCGCAGTTTTTGGTCCGCACGCTGTGAGGACTATTCAGAAAGGGCCATAATGGTTTAGAAAGCCCTTGTGGTTATTCGGAAATCGTTAACAAAAGAGCTTAGACCCTCCCCCGTTCTGCATAGGGGCCAGAGTGTCTTCTAATATGCAACCCAGTTGAAATAAGTGAGCGCGAAGAAGTGAGAACGAAAATATTTCAAAGCTTCAGTAGCGCTTTGAATATGTCTCTCCTGCTGTAGCTGCGCGCAGGGGAAACTTGTCCGTAACGTATCACGACACGCTTAACATGTTTTAACACATCTTGTCAGTGCGATATTGTCAAATGACATGTTCTTACAGGTGGGTTTCCAACTTTACCACCCACATGTCCACTGCTACAGTACATCAGCTGTAGTTCTCCGCGGACGGTTGGGCGTGTCAGCGCGGCTGCGTTTGGCGCGGTGCCAAACTCGTTCTCCATTAGTTGTTGAAGCGGGCAAGTGACAATACTGTATCATATCCTTCGTATTACTCGTTTTCTACCACTTTTTGTCGCATGCGCGTTTCAACAAGAAGGCAGAGAACGGCTTCGACAGTGTGAACACTCATACTGCCTGACACGCCCAACCGTCCGCAGCGAACTAAAGTGTACACGTCCTGCTGTCAGGAGAAGTTTTTGCAAAATACGACGGGTGTATGCCGTTTGGCGCGATTTTTCGTCGCCTACGCGTAAAAACATGTCAGGCAAACCAACCTTCACATGAAACAACTCGTCCGATCTTTCAAATCAGTGTACTTCCCTGAGTGACCGTTAGAAGAAAACCCGGCTTAGAACTATGAGCACTAGAACCAACAGTAGTGACTTTTGGTAGGCTATAAATTACGAAATCCTCATAGTTCAGTGATCCGGACAAGGTATCCAACTTGGTAGGCATGTAACGTTACCTGTTGGAACAGGTCAACTGCTATGTAATCGCACCAAACGACCGCCTCCCAAATACGACCCCTGAAAATTTATTTCTTTCTCTTGTACGAGCACGCCCTTTCCCTAAATTTCCCCAACTTCGTACCATCATGCCACACTTCTTGGACAGCTTTAGGCTGCGTTCATAATTTACGACGGGCTAATACGAGAACCGTGGTTCGCGCCTAGAAAAGGGGAGACGGGCAAGAGAATCGTAATTTGCCGCTCCGCCGCGCACGGCGATGGGCGCGGTTTCTTAACTCGTGTTAACCTGTCGATTGGAGCACCGGACTTCATGTAGACCCCGTCATCGTAGACATTCATGACTATTTTCGGTTCTGAATTGCTGTTGTCGCCATCCTCTACCTGGAACCATCGTCATTTGCGGCGCGACGTCGCACGCGGA